CACGAGAGAAGGCGATTTGGCAAATTGCATGCACAAGGTCACTCCAGAAACAATGCGCTTTCCGCCGTATAAGAATGCGTATAGAAACAAGTAGAACAATAGAGGTGGTCTATTTGGGAGATTCACCAATGAATACAATCAATTTCCCGGAAAAACATAAATTGTACGGTGTTTTGAGGCCCATTAGATGAGGGTAGGAGGCTTTCGGTTACTGGATTAGGTTCAGGCAACAGTCGGTTGCTTCCTAGGACATAGAATGGTAAGCTTCTATGTGCTGAATACCAAAGAAATGTGAACTTCTGAACATTTAAATGCAAAATGGCTGCCTTCCAACTTACCGTTATCATCGTGAAACTGGTAATTGATAACGTTAGCGTAGGTTAGATGTGCCTAAATAACCAGGGATAGACAAGGCGTATGATGTCATAGATAACTAAATAACCAGTAAACTTCAGAACCAGTAAAGTACTCACAAAAAGGAGTAACAAAATGGACCGCATGACGTAGAGGGACGGGATGATTAGGTTGCGGTAGCGGAAGACCACGGACGACGAGCCTAGCCGCGATGGGCGGAGCCAAACTGAAAATGGGTGGAGTCTTGTGAGAGGACGTGAGGGTACATCTTGAAATGACCCCGAAGAATTGAGTTAAATGAGGCGGAGACTGAGAGCATATCCGCACTTTTTGTGGGCGAGACTAAGTGAGGGAGAAGTTTCGAGATGGCCAATTCAGATAAGCAGGATGGGCGGCGTTTGTTGCTGCCCGTTGAAAAAGGGACAAGCCGTTAAGAATGAACTGACAAGGAGGGACTGGAGGAGTTGCCTTCGGGAAGTTTGCAAGTGAGGGTGGTATCGGTAAAGAAGAACAGTGAGAAGAAATGTGAGAGGATGGACATGCAGCTAAGCAAATGTTTGATTGACCTCGTGTGGAGGAAATCACAAAAGGCTACCAATGGGGCTAGCAATATGCGTCGGCAAACAGTAGAACGGTAGGAGAAGCCTCGATGAGGCACGAGGAATCGGGTTACCCTTCCCCTCACACAACCATACCACATTTGATCATCCGATCACGCAGATGTTCGCCGGAAAGGATCAACCACGCGCATGTTTCCCCTCTAAATAGCGCTTCATCTCGTGTTTGCGTTCAAAAAACCATTGAGTCAGAGGTCAAGAAGCATAGCGGTCTGTCATTGGGCTGAAGGACTGAAGAGAGGTGGAAACAGGGCACATCATTGGTTGGAGACTTTGGTCAAAGTCTGTGGACCCCCCCCCGGTTCCTTCGTCTGATACGATCAAAGGGAGGGATGCATAGCACAAGTGAAATTGAAAACAATATACCC